GTCCCGCAGAAGGGGGACAAAGGAACAAAATCGTTTTGGTGGGTGACAATACGCAGGTAGTCCAACTTGTTTGGAACCGCTTAGTATATACATAGGTATACATATATGGTACATTCATCCAAATTCTAAGAACTAATACAAAGCTGACAGAAGCCTTTACCTGTGCCCGCTTTTTGTGTAATCCGGTAGAAGTAGTTGAGAGCCTTAAATGCCTCGGAAACTTGATCGAAGTTGGGGTTAGAGAAGAGATTGTACTACGGATAGCAAAAGCTAAAGCAACTTTTGCCAAAATGCGACACCTGTGGTGTCAAGGGAAGGATGTACAACATCGTAGTTCGACGCCCTGTTTTATAGTTGCGGGACCCGATTCCTCAGCACCGGGGATGCTAATCGATTTTCTGTATTCACCCACCGCTGTCTTCAATATATTACCTGTATCTGGTGGGAACAGCGAGTGATGACTGGTGAGGCTTGTCGCCGTTTTTTGGTGCTGATAGTCGTTCTCCAAAGGAGGTAATCGCTCTACACGGAATTCGATGGTTTCGTCACTTTTTGGGTATGCCCACCCATCCTCTACCTATCCGTGCTCCTTTTATACGTGCCGAGCAAGGTTGGAAGAAGCGTAGCGGCAGTCAGACCATGACTTGGCGTATGGGTATGAGGAAATTTGCTTTGGTTGGTTGTGGTGAGTCGAACCTCCGAGATAACGCCAGTCAAGCGGCCACGTGTTCCAGTTTCTGGAAATCGGACTTCAGGCCAGCAACATTGATCAATAAAAGTCAATTCAAGTAACAGTCGTGTGACTCGGAGAACAAGAACAGCAATTAGTTGATGTCCGTTTGGTCAATGTTATTTATATTAACATATTGTTTAAACTCATTGATTTCTTTCAATAAATAAACCCATTCTTGTGGACTTTTTCATGCCTCTGGGTGAAGTGAGATTTCGGTAAACGATTATCAGGGAGATTTCGTGTTTCATCTACGATTAAGTGTTTATTCCGATTAGTACGATAGTGTAGCCGGCCTTCAGGTTGGCTAGAGACGCTGATATATACATCTTACAATGGAATTCAGTGGCGCGAATGGTGTAAAGTAAGTAATTTCGTCTTATTATTCTATTAATAGCTCATTGTAAATCTGAACACACAGGAGCGTTATTTTAACGAGGCAGAATTGACTAGTTCGATTTTCATGTGAACTGATTATCCTTCGGACTATCTTCAGTTCATCTATTCAACCGTACACTCGGAAAGCACTATAGCCACGAGTTTTATTTTCATTAGAGCTCGTCACTAGTGCATATTCACCGTGCCGTCCGAACCTGTCACGTGGAAGTTGTGTAGTACCTCTGTGTCGACCAGCTAACACCGGTAAGCAGAATTGACAATCCCTTTTTTTGAGATACCGTCTTCAAAGATAGTCAGTCGTTTACTTTGGCTCGAAAGAAAAAAAGAAACAGGTTACTGTCTGTCTACTCCAGACAAAGGCCTCCCACCAAGACAGTTATACGATGCAAATTAGGGTTTATTTTTTCAATTGAACCCGCTAAACCACCTTTTAACTGGAACAACCAAATGATTGTCGAAACCAATTTTGGTTACTCATAAGTAACAAATGCATTAATTTTTATAAATACAGGTGATCTCGGTTTTGATTTTAATATAGTTTATTAAACTTGTCAAATGAGGAAAGAAGTTACAACGCACTGAATACCGCCCGTCACAACGTGACTGCACCCTGATATGGTGATAATGATTGTGTGCTTCAATGAACCAGCTAGACGTAGATGGCAGCTTAGCTGTTTAACCATTTAGATTACCTTGAGTAGCCAACTTTGCACCTGGGTAAATCATTCTCGCAAATAAACATGTGAAGGAGCAACTTGATGATTAAAAATCCTCGCTGGGTGGATGCAAGAGTGGAGTAGTTTGGGCCTCCCAAGGCTATGTTCTTTATCGGGTAGCTGCCTCCCGCCCCATCAAATAGGTGGTTCGCACTCGCGTTCCGCCTATCACAATCGGGGCATGAAACTCAGGGCCAATTACAAACAGTAAACCAAATAGCAAGCACACAGCAAGAAAAAACCGAGGTGATAGATCTGAAGGAGCACCTAAAAGTACTCCCCGCCAAGTCCATCCTTTGAATCTACGCCCCATGGCCTTGTGCCAGACTTCAAACTTCCAGTTGGTGTTTGGAAAGAAAAGTTATTCCTTAGTGTGGGGCTGCAAATCAGTATGTCGTGCCTTAGTCTCAGAGATCAACTTTTTCATCTCTTCTGATCTCAAAGTACTTGAGATATATCGAATTTAGCCCAGGAGAATGCACCATTCAGCAAGGTGGGCGAATCAAAAGCCAATGAATTGATCAAATCCATTATGTCTATTTACGACAGCATTCCACATCCACACAGTCTATCAGATCGTCAAAAAGGCCGTCTGAGTTATAATCCCTGAAACACGTGACCACTATAGGTAAACAAAACAGTCAAGGGATCATCAAATTGTGTGGTCGAACACAAAAAAGGTTGTTCTTGTTGATTAATTGCCCTGCCTTCCTCTTGCATATTCCCCCATTTTCATTCCATGGATTTTCCTTTTAGTTATACTTTTGCTGCGTTCACAGCTTACGTGATCCGATTAGAGTGAAATAAGACGGTTGGACGCTCTTTATGCAAGTCAGTTTTTTGGGGCGAGGAACTGTAAATCTATGTGGCGTGGAATCAATCTTCTCTGTAGGCAGAAGAAAGTGATTTCCAGTCCCTCTATCTATATTGAAAAATTGAATAATGCATTTATTCATTCTTCGTCCGACAAATACCCCAGTT